ACTGCGAGTTGCTAATAGAGTAGAATGTAGGTGATCTACTGAACTACTTCCCTTAGCAAAGTTCATCTTGTCGCAATCGTTGAGTTCTTACTGGGCATTATCTAATAAGCATCCATGCTGTAAGGCTAAAAATCAAATCGACTGCTAACTGTCAAAGTTGTATAGAGAACAGTGAAGTGGAAACATCCATTCACTTTCTCCTCCATTATCCAGCTTTTGCAAGACTGAGGTTGAAATATCTCGTCAATCACGGCTATAAGCTGTCAAAGTGAGTTTCCTGTTAGAATCGATCGTGTAACCTAGGCTAACCTGGTATTTTACAGAGTTAACAAAATATTGGAGAAACTGTATGCAAAACTAAATAATTTCACATCACATCCTGAAAATAACGCCATCCAAATCACCAGTTATATCGTTTTGTACTTTGACCAACTCAACTCAAATCGAACCGTGCAAAACTCTGCCTTAAAGATATCATTCGTTATAAAAATATTAAAAGATAATTGGACTCTTTCGAAGGTAAAAAATTATCAGCTTGATTAGAAAATTATTTTTGTGCCTAGAGAGGAAATTTCTTCGAATCTGCACAGTTTCACGAGATAAAGATCACATATGCACACAGTATCTGCTGTAACCAAAGTAGCTAGAGAAACTTTAAGTGTGGTCGATATAAAAAGTCATTCAACTCAGTGAACTTGGAGGGGGTTATTACGACTTAAGTGGGAATAAGAATAATTTACGTCTCATGATTTATATCAAGAGTTCTGTCGAATATTCTGGTAGCGTACTGTGATTAAATAAAAGAGCTCCAAAGAAATGGCTTTTAAGTTGGTACATGTCTGTATTCATTGAAATGTGGCCCCACTCGAACTTATTTTGGACAAAAGCTGAGACTGAAATCCTTACACAAAAACCAAAAGTCCACTCAATTGGAGTTTGTTTGACTTTTAAGACAGTACAATAGTAACTTAATTAGTAGATATGAAGATTGATTGCTAGATTCAAAAACTCTACGGCAAAATGGGTATTCTACATCTTACAATTACTAAGATTCGGTAGATGTTTTAACATACGTACATAAACATATTTAAGTTTAAGTAAGTCAGATGTATGGCAAAACTTCTGCAGTGGATATCTTGTGAAGTAAATATAACTGCTATCACCTCCTAGAAATTCCAGATCTTTCCAAGAATATCAAAAATGAGTTTCTAAACCTAACTGACAATATTCCAAGCCTTACTTAAATATATTAACCCTCAAACCCATCAATTAAACAAGCTTAGTATTTAGCCCTACCGTTACATGAAGTTGATGACAATTTTTGGTTCTTATAACCGAAAAATATTCGTGTAACAACTGCAATAGGATCGTACTTCTGTTCCTGCCGCTAGACAGTTCCTTTAACCGAAACCAAAGCGAAATAGAGACAGTGTAGGGCTGCCGTCTCACCAACAGTCCAAATGGTTTCTCTTTCGGAAATATTTTATGCCTCTACAACAACATCAGCAAATTTGCCTTACTACGGTATGATGTTAGCTCGTTGCGGTATCAATAGGGCCACTTCAGGGTGCAGCTATATTATCAGGTTGTTGAAATGAGCTAACCGCTGTTTGATCCATTCAACATTATCATCTATTGACAATGCAAGTCAACAGTTATAACAACAACAATATTCATAACAACAACAATAACCAGTGAATAAATCCCGCATCAATAAGGGGTAAATAAAGAGAGGTCCAACTTCACGTTTAACATCAAATTTGATAAGATAAAAATCAATGATGAATTGTACGACAATGAGACAGTTATCATTTTGTGCGTTTTATAAATATATATACTCAAGAAGTGTGCAAAAAATTATTGCATATTTCAAGCATTCGATTGCCATTCGCCCATTAGTTAGCAATTACAGTTGCATTTGCGATATACAAATTCCAATGAGCGCACAATTGTTTGTAGACCCCGACCCTCTCCAGAAACAGGCGATAATGCTGCGTATACTCTTTGGCTTGGCTCTTGCCGGCGCTGTGTCAAGCGACGATGCACAAGTTGAGTGTAAGTTGAAGCCGGAAAAAGTGCGAGAGTGTAAATAATTTCTAGTGTTCCCTCAGATCCATACTGTTTTCGCTTCACCTGGATCGGTCCCTATCAAGATAAGAAGCATATTGGCGGCTTGACTTGTGAGCACTTGCGCGAGGACTTCAAGAATGTGCCGTGTCGACGACCGCTAGTGGCAACAGGTGAGTGCAATGTAAGAGTTGAGGTGTTAGTTCCTGCTAGACACGAATACTAGAATACAGAAAAATATGCAAAAATGTGTGTGTATTTTTTCTTATACTCTGAACATGGTATATTTAGTTTGCCACGAAGTTTGTAATACCCAGAAGGAAACGTCGGAGACGCTATAAAATATACATATTATATATATTAATGATCTGTATATATGTACATATATACGCGAACTAGTCACTCAGTTTTTGAGATATCGATCTGAAATTTCGCATACGTCCTGAAATTTGGCACACGTCCTTTTCTCTCCAAGAAGCTGTTCATTGGTCGGAAGCCATATAAACTGAATTATCAGAATCAATTACTTGTATGGAAAACTTTTTTATTTAACGAGATATCTTCAACAAATTTGGCATGGGTTATTGTCCAAAGAAACAGTGCAATCTGAAATTGTTCAGATCGGACCACTATAGCATATAGCTGGCATACAAATGGACCGATCAAAATTAAATTCTTGTAAGGAATATTTTGAGTTTGTGAAGGGTATTATAGCTCCGGTGCAACCGAAGTTAACATTTTTTACTTGTTTTTATTCTTTTCCATTCTTTAACATCTACAGACAATGATGCCATACCGGACACAGTCGATTTGTGGCGTCATCATTACAAACAGCCGAACGCCTTTGGTTGCCCCATGGTGCCGGGTGAGACGTGCGTCAAATACACATACACCTACAACAAGGGAGGTGGGTTATTCCGTTATACAGATATATTTTGCATTTTCATCCACTCTGTGCAACTCTGCTTGCTCATGTTTAGTGCAAAACATTACTTATATGTGTGCGAAGGTGAATGCCACAAGCGGTTGCTATCGCCAGAAGTACATTTCCGGCTTGGAGGTAGAGGTGTGTGTCTGTGATTCACAGCTAGGACATATGCCTTGCAATCGCGCAGCGTGCTCATTTCGGAATCTACTCAAAAATGTCATTTTGTTGCTGCTGTTAGGCGGGTTATCACACATTTGGCTTTGATTAGGTGGCAGCACTGTAAATAATTCAAACCTTCTGGCGCTAAAATTAGCTCAAATAAGTAAGGTAAAGTAAGTATGCGCGGAATCACGCAATAAATACACTCGCAAATTCTAAATACTTAGAAACGCAAATTATTTCGAGATACAAGATTTTACATCAGGTGGATGTATGCGTCATGGACCGACTATAATCAGTTTTTGTAGTAATTGACCTTGATTTACCGATATACACGGAATAAAGGCAACAGGAAGTCGGAAAAACACTTTATTGGATAAATGGTATATGCCGATTATTACCATTTTCGATTCAGAATTTATGCTAAAAATAACATTTTCTTTAAATTTTGTTAAGATATCTTTGATATTAATACACCGTAAAAGGTCAACCGGAACGATAAAAGCCATTTTATATCGGGTGTGGAAAGATATGCATAAATATCCCAATTTTTGGTTGATTTCGTCTGGGCCAATGGATTTAGGCGATTTGGCTTTTGATGACACTCTGAACCTCCTCATCGATGACAGTAAGTGGTGCCCAATCCTTTGACATTTTGCGCAGTCGCCGGGTAAAACGTCTTTTGGCCTTGTCTGTTGTGGGGTGCAGTGTGACGCGCACTTTTTCGGGTCCGAAGAGGCATGGCCATTTAATTGAATTTAAAACCAATCGTCATACCTCTTCGGACCAGGCCTTTACAGTAGTCCCGAGCTTACCAAAAATCAGTGGAGAGTTTACAGGACTTCAGATGCTCTATCCATTTTGTCCGCTTATGCTGGTTTACCATTTACCGAATCTCCAGATTGAGATTCCAAAATTCTTCCAGCCGGGATGAAGCGAGCGGTAGCAGCAACGATCACCTTGTGAAATTTACGTTGGCCAACGATTCTGTCCGTAGGAATGGGTAGTGCGGTTAAGGTTGTTTGGGAAATTCTGTGAAACCGACCCAGTTAGCTTTGTTGAAGTTAGCGAAGGTGTGATTGTCCACAGACATAAAGGTGGGAGGTATCGCGATTGAAATAATTATGGGCATATAGTATGGTGGGAGAGTTAGTCAAGTTGTATTATTTATCAGATCTCGCGAGCTATTACAGGCGCCCATAATTCATTCAGTGAATTCCGACATTCTGCGGCGATGTCACCGTCGATAAAAGGATATTACACTCTGTTTTGCACTATAAAGGTTGAACCTCCACATCTCGCTCGTGTGGGCAACGTCTAAAAGGTGGGGAGATTGATTAGACTGGGAGTCATGCTGACTAATTGAGCTCCTTGGAATCGTAGAGGCCCTTTGTTGACCACTCGACTGGCGTAGTGCGCGAACTAGGTGACGTTTGCACAACCGTAGAGGATAGTTTCGCATTTGTGCGTTGGCAGCATGAATCCACATAACATATGGTCCACTCACTAGGAGTCTCAAGGCCTTAGCAGTTGTTCAGATGGCCCCAATCATTGCATATATTACATCTAACCGTGGTGGAGTTTAGATGACACTTTTAGCTCAAACGCAGCGGAAAAATTCCTCCGGGCCCGGGTTGGTCTCAATGCCAGCACGGATTAAGAGAATACGGAGGGACTACTAGGTGTTGAAATAATGTTGACAAACGTAACCTATATAATAACAGCCTTTAACCGGATGAAATCCAAGTCAATTCCGGTGTCGTGACACCGGATATCGAAGGAATTGTTGGGTATATGGGGGCTATGAGAATGGATGTTCACCGTAACATATTTCGAGAGTATAAAATATTTATTCCCAAATCTGTTTGGAATTAAAATTTATTTCATTTTATTTACTATAATAATAAAATGTGCGCACTCAATCTGCTTCCTGTTCATTATCATCATCATCGGTGGGCTTTTTCAAACTGCCAAACACCTTCGCCGGTATTGCTTGTTGTTCAATGCGCAAGCGCTTCGCCGAAATGATGTTTTCCTCATTGCTGCCACGCTTTTGTGTGCCATTTGTGTCGCCCTCGGCCTCCTCATTATCGTCGTCGTCTTCGTCTTCATCGCTATCGCCAATGTCGATTTCATCTGGATTGACCACCTTGTCCTTGGCGTTGCCACCTTGCGTTTCGCCGCGCACAAACATAATATTGCCGCTGGTCTGTGGCTTAAGCGTTTGTTGTTGGCGTGCCTGTTGCTCTGCCGCTGCCTTAGCCTCGAGCAGACGCATAGCATCGCCACCGCCCTCAGCGTTGGCGCCACCGGCAGTTGGCTGATTGAGAAACTGTGCGGCCATCATGTTCACTTGCGTATTATAGGTGGCCTGCACGGAGCGCTTGATGCGCAACATTTCGCGCATAGTGTCCTCATTGCCATGACGCACCTCAAACTCTTTCCAGGTTTGCCAAAAGTCGGCGGTTATGCGTGGATCACATACCTGTGGGTAGGTGGGAAACGTAAATTATTTAAGCAATTACAACTAAATGAAATATAATAAATTCTTTACCTGTGAGCAATGCGCATAAATGGCGCGTGCGCGGTCTATCTCGCCCAGCTTCGTTTCCATTTCCGCAAAGCGCACACACATCGGACGCATATTCTCCTCGGGCAATGCCTCTATGGCCTTTTCGTAAATTTCACGCGTACGTGGTAGCCCATAGATTTCCGCGGCTTTCTTAATAAATATGTTGTACATGTCAAACATTTCTTCGGGCTTGACAGCGCTGGTTGCCCGATCATAGACGGCCATAGCATGACGCGCTAAACCGTGTTCCTCCTCCAACTTCGCATACAGTAAATAGAAGTACTTGGCATGCTCAGGCGGACAATTCTCTAGACACTGTTCAAACAGATCGCGCGCACGCTCCAATTTTGTGCCGCCATAACGCTTGAGAAACTTTGTCAAGTAAGCATTCCATATGTCATATACATTTGGCCATTTGAAGAGCGCAATGCCCTTTTCATAGCCACGAAAAGCTTCCTCGAAGTAGTTGTGCTCCTCCAAGAAGAGCCCGTAGTTAATGATAATTTGCGGTGTGCAGATTTTCAAGTCAATTATGCGATCATAAACAGCTTTGCATGTTTTGAAAGTGCCAAAAGATTCCTCCAAATCGGCGTACATGGACCAGACCTTTAGCGAGCGATATAAACGCATTTGCACCGTCTCGGTATCATCATGATAGGCCACTTTACGTTTCGGCATTGCAGTGGCTTTTTGCATCAATCGTAGAGCGCCTTCAAAGTTCTCCTGTCTAACAACAGACAAAGAAAAGTACATAATTAGAAAATTTGCTGATGAAAAAATTGCAATTTATAACACACCTGATCTCCATTTCTGCCCATTCACACCACACCGCCGCTAGATCTTCCACTTTTACATACTCCACCTCAGTGCCCCTCTCAAAGACTACCCGCGCGTCCTCTACTTGATTATTAGATTCGTAAAATTTAGCGAATTCCACCCACAATGTATGTAGTTTGCCCGCTGCCAACTTTGGTTGCACAGTCTGCACGGCTTCGGTGTATGTATTGATTATTTCGTGCGGCTTGCCTTCGTACAACTTTACACGCTTGTGCCACTCATGTACATTATGCGGATTCTGACGCAGTAGCACGCTATTCAATAGCAGCAGACGCCGCTCCATGAGATACTCGAAGCGTGCCAAGCGCAATTCAACATCAATGTCGTCATCTTCGGTGGCATGGGGATCGTCAGCCACCATTTCCATGCGTTTATTCAAGGACACCTCTTCAAATTGAGCATACTCGTCGAAAACTTGCGTGAAATCGCGCACTGTGGTCACCGTTTGTATAGCTTCTTCATAAATATCGCGTGCACGATCAAAGAGACCCGAGCGTACATAATAATCAGCCAAAGAGTTCCAGAGATGACCAAGCTGATCAGTGTAACTAAATAAAATAAAAAAATATAGATACATATAAATCAAAATATTTAAATATACAAACCGTCTAAGGCCGCTCCGTATAATAGCGTCCACATTCAATGAATGCACTTTGTCGGGATTTTTCGAAATCAAATCGCACAACTCATTCCACAACTGATGGTTAGACTTCCCATGCTTCGATACGAAATGTTCATTGTCCACTACTGAAGCCAATTGCTGAGCTGCTTCATCTAAACGCTCGACATCTATTAAATACTCTATATACTCTTCAGCATCTTCCGGAAACAGTTTTAGGTAGCGCCGGTAGATGCGTAAAGCTGTTTCTGGTATATCGAAACGTCGCACAAATTTTAAATAAAGCGGCCAAATGCGATGATGCTGTGTAATGGGCAATGCACGTAAAGCGCGATCAAACACGTGTCTTGTACGTGTAATGCGACATTGCGTCGTCATAAAAACTCCATAATCCATCCAAATGCGTGGCATTTTGTGCATGAACACAAGTGCTCTTTCGAAAGTATTGTTCACTTCATCATACATCGGATCATTGAGTGGGCGTCCACGCACTTGCTTACGACGTGTGCGTAGGTAATTATACCAAATTTTGTAGCTACCCGGCAGCTCCTTGAGTGCACGCTCATATACAATATTCACGCCACAATTGGGTGCCTTGGATTTGTGTTCAATGTAACGAAGCCAATGTTTAACCGAATAAGCATTTCGCAATATCTCCTCCTCGTAGGGAACATCCTCCTCAGGCTGTGAAAAGGTTTTAAGTTTAGTAGTGAAAGTTGGCGTTAACACTAGACCGGCGATATAATATAATTATGACATTCGGCGTTTAATATACTTACAAAATCTATATCCACTGTAATAAGTGGTTTATCAATAAGAGTCATTTTGCTATTTAAACAAAATTTTTAAACATAAATAATTTTTTTAACAAATATAACACAATCGTATAAAATGCGAAAAACTGAAAGGAATACTTATTAGCCCGATCAGCTGTTGCGGCTGATTGTCAAACAACGCCACAGTGTTGGAAAATGATACATGCATAATGAAGGCTGACAATTTTTACATAATTCACATTTTAATAAAAACACCTAACAACAAAAATTTCAAGATATGATTTCTATATTATGTATTTGGGTATGAATATTCCCGTGTAAAGAATAATCTAGTTCACGTCGCTTATGGAAAAAAGGCAGTTTAACTATTATTCTTTGAAAAATAGCTATTTAATAATGCTACTCTCTCGCAAATACGGTTATTATCTTATATATGGCATATATTATTTATTTTAATCTAATTACACAATTTCTCTTAAATAATTTTATGATTATCTCGATATATAAATCAGTTGTGTGTGACTTATTTCTTGCACCTAAAACCGGGTGCTCTGAAAAATCAAATTAAATAATTAAGAATAATATTAATAATAAATTATCGGTAGATACTTATTTTTATTTTGAATAACGAAAATATTGTATATTAAAGATTTTGCAAAAAAACAAAAACCATAATTAATATTTCATATAACATATTTAACGCATATAAATTAGTATATATATATTCTTTAGTACTAAATACAATTCAATTCCACTTTGCTTTCCACTCAGAGTTGCCGTTGTACCAAAAATAATAATAAACGCGGAACCCTAGTCAATTTTCTGCTTTTGCTTTGTTGAACAGTTTTCTATAGATTTTTGACGTGCTCGGTTGAAGTAAAGTTAAAGTTTTTATTTCGTACGCCGCTTAGGACATAGGAAAACCAATAAAGTTGAAACCAGTTTGAGTAAATAAAATCTAACAAAGCGCATATGCATTGTTTGACTATATAGAGTAACATTTGTTCAAGAGATTCAAAATCTAAGAATGGTGTAAGTGAGTGTGGATTATAAAGTTACTATTAAGCTAAAGATTAGCAGATAGTAAATGTGTATGTCTACTACACATCTCAGTTTAAAGTTGAATATGAAGAGTGTTTAAATAAAGTCGGCAAATATAAAAGTTTCCGAAACACATGATATTGCGTTAAAATGCAGCATTATTAAATAGCAAAGCTCGTTAACGGGTTCGTCTGCCAACGCTGTCATGCCCTTATCGCTGTTTTTTCGTGTGCTTGCGTTGAGTTAAAAAAAAAACAATTGCTTCTTATGGAGTTTTTGAACAACTTAAACCAAAACAACAGAGACTGTATACGGTATCTGCATCCAATAAAATTTAGCAACTAATCCCAACGAAGGATGCGCTTTCCCCATGCCGAACGTTTGCAGTCTTATGTTGCTATAGTTGCTTATATACGAGTATGTGTTGATTTTTGACGTTTCAAACCAAAGCAAACAACCACTGCTCGTGTTTATTTCACCTTTTACCCATACTCAACCTTTGGCATTAATTTGTATTTTTAAAAAATTCATGGCGCTTTATTATCGAAATTTAATACTTTATTATTAAACATTTTATAGTCAAAGAAGAATAAAAAATAAAAGCATGTGCAAGCAAGCATTAGTTAGCAAATGAAGTTGTGCATAAGTGTGCTTAGTACTAATCAGTGGTTGTAAATTTAAATATACACATGTATTTATTTCAGTTATTAACTTCCTCGCAGTGCAGAATGTGTATTTTAATAAAAGAAAAGTGAATAAAAAATAATATAGTAATCACAAACGTCAGTTCAAAATCAATTTATTTACCTCTTAATATTTGTACCAATTTATTGTGTGGGTTATAGTGAAATAAATAAAATATAGTAGGTTCAAACTACGTGCGAAATAAATCAGCAAGGTTTGTATACATTTAATATATAATTATATATATTATTATAAGTTATGAACATATTATTATTTCATTTTATGAATTTTTTTTTTATTAGCTTTATAAAACTAATAATCTACTTTTTACTGTATAAGGAAGAAAAAAGTTTTTTTTTCATGTTCATTAATTTTACTCCATAGTCCAATTTAAAAATTAAGATTATAAATTTTTTAATTGATCATTTTAAAAATAAATAAATTAATAATATGTAACATTATAATAAAGTTAAATCTCCCAACAAATAAAAAGTAAATATCCCTTTCAAAGTAAATATGCCGAAAGTCGTAGGATATAATATCTAACTTTTGCATATTAATATGTATAAAATAAAGAAAAAAAATATTTCATTATATTCTATGTATTTATGTAAGATACATGCATTTTTTTATTATATTTTTTAGAAAGTATCAGGGTTGCGAATTTTTTAATAAAAAAATTGGATTAAAACTTAGATTTTCAATTTTTAATTGAAATTTTAGGCTTCAAAATTAAAATTCAGTGTGTTTATTTAAAAATTTAAGCCCAAGATGTTAGCGAATAAAAATTGAGGTAACATGTATTTATTTTTAAATTGGAGTAACAAATAAATAAATTATTTTTCAAATTAAAAACTGAAACGGAAAGGGATAAAATTTTAAAGATTTACACGTTTCTAACTGCAAAACTATACTTAAAAGCAATTAAATATAAATAAAACTAAAACAGCTAAACTTGATTGATATTTTATTTAAAATAAGCTTCATTTTCAAAAGATAATGAGAAATAAATAAGAAAATCATAAAATACACATCCCAAAACAATTTTTTTTTTCTTATAAGCTTGGGCTTAAATTTTTTTTGTTTGTTCAATCCGGTATTTGGGATTAAAACTTAAAATTAATATATAACCGAATTTTCTTATTAATTTTTTTGTTTTCAATTCCGGTATTTGGGATTTAAAATTTATAAATTATTTTTAATTAAGATCTTAATGGTTTATTAGTAACTCTAATGGCAACCATTTTATCTTATCGCGAATCTGCTCTTATTCTCTCTTTCTCCCGTACCCACCCACACTCTTTAATCCATCTGACTTATGCCAATTAGTCGTCCTTTCCGTTAAGTGGCGCCTTCATGATTCTCACCTACATTAGACCGTCGTACACTGCATTGTCTGAGGCTAGGTGCTTATGTTTGTCCCTTACCTTACCTGTCACCACTTATTAAGTACTCGTTTATCTTCCTATTTAATGTGGATAGGCACACTTCGCTGCTAACTCAAATGTCTTTTATATTTTTTGTGTGTTTCTAAAATTATATTTTGGCTATTTTAATTTATTGTAGTGTGAAAAGGGCTTCTTTAATGGCTTTACTAAGCGGAGTAACCTTTAGTACTTCAAATCAGTATAATTATGACATAAGCCGATATATACTCGTAAAATACCTTGAAAATATCTTAAATTAGTTTTTATGTGCTATGTAAAGCTGTCTAGACATTGTAATAGCAGAAAGACATGATTTGGATTGCTCCAAAAGATTCACAGGTCATTATTAAAGTTCTACCGTATAAAATAAAGGTTCAACATTATGACTTTTGGAGTAATCCTTCCTTATTTATCATCAAGATGAGTAAAATGTTTTAATATGTTCGAGGACAAAAGAGAGAGTTTAAGTTTTCCTTGATTACAACTGTGTATGGCTTAAACTGTCTATTTATATTTTATAAAAAATATTTTCAGATTTCTTTCAAAAATACGTAAGTCTGTAAAGCAGATCGCGATTAATAATTATTTATAATTTATTATTTGAACCAACCTTTTTTCGAGTGTATTAAAATTTTGTTAAATTAATACAGCCACAGTTTGCTCTAGCCATTAATTTCTCTTTTATATATCCACATTGCTCTTGTGCGGTTCTTTCTCTGTGTTCCTCCATATATGTTCCCTTAAAAGGATCGAATATGCGCGGAATGAGTGTATCGAGTTGAAAAACGAGTTACCACCATTGTCGTGGTCAATACTACATAATGGATACTGGTTTTATTTGAGTATTTGTAGATATGTAGCGATTCGTGGAAGAAGAAACTTGTTGTCCTCGCCAGCTTTTTTTATGTTGGTACTAACGAGTCGCTTAAGCCACAGTGGGGCAATATGACAAAGATTAGTAAAAAACAAACTTTAAATAAAATAAAATAAGAATCAATTAATAATAAAAATAAAAATATATATCTCCTTTTTTTGTTAATTAATACAATTTACAAAAAAACTATTATTTTTATTTCATAACAACCTCTCTCTAAAATTCTTCTCAGTTCCGATTAAACTACAATATGTTATTATTACTGTTTTCGGGTTTTGGCGGTTGTAACTTTCGAGTGTTAGAAAAGAACTCTATTCGGCTATAGTAACGAAGAGAAAGTTGTGTTGTCTTCTGGTACGGAGATAGGGAGGTCTTTTATGTCTGTTGATTACGTTTAATTTTGGATTTAGTACCAGCCCATATTTGGTTCACTCGTAATCACTGTCGTTTAAAATCTTGAATGGCTAGGCGCACACACACACTCACATGCCGACATAATTGGTCCACGATGCCGGTTACTCGCAAAACCTTTGATACCTACGATTGCATTTATGTACATACATATGTATATATGTGCATATGCCTGTACTAGGTAGATAGATACACACAATCACCGCCTAAGCTTGCACAGTAGGCGGCCGCCAACGAACTTCTGAGCTGCTGCCTGCTCCTGCCCATAACTAGCATGGGTTGTTCGGGGAGAGTATTTGCGAAGTCGGTGTGTTCCAGCGTATGCGCGAACTCACTAAAGGCTCTCCGGTTTCAGCTTACGCTCTCATTTCTCAATATTCAGGCTCCAACACAGCTAACTCCTGGGACTAATGCCTGTATGTCTTGCAAAAACAGAAAATAATTTTCACTGCTGAGTGCATTTGTCAGCTGCTTGACTCTTTTTGTTGTTTTTGCTGTTTCATCTTATTGTTGTTGTTTTACTTTTCCTTGCGAATATCCACTTCAAGCTGGGATACCTACTCTACGCTGTACGAGCAACTAAGTCAGTTTCAGTTCAACGGAGTGCACTCGCACAATTCGGTACAAGTTGCGGTTTGTGCAGCAGAAAATTATTAACGAAAATACCCAAAATGACCACACATACATACATACACGTACAGTATACCGAGAGTCATACCATTTACTCCAACTGCCTTGACAGACTGACTAAAGTGTTGGCCGAAAAAATGTGAAGCGATGTGAGGGAAAGATGTGTAAGCTACAATATTAAAGCGTGTAACGGTGAAATTCACGTAAAATAAAATAAAGTGTTAAAAAACAACAACAACCTACACGCATCCAGCTTTAATGCTGCGTATCTGCAGTAGGCGAAAAAAGTTTCGTTGAAAAATCAATGCAAATCAAATTTCATACTCGTATATTAAATTGTGCATGCGAATAAGTGTAAGAAACATAAATGGTAGTGAAAAAAAATAATGATTAAGCAAAGCAGAGGAAAAGTTTAAGTAAAAAATTGAAGTTTGTGAAAGTTAAAAGCAGCACATAGTACATGTACCTTTAAAATTACATTTTATGTGTAGATCCACAATATAACAACAACAAAATTACATATCCATATAATCAGTGAAACTGGCAAAAAAAATCAGCAGTGAAAATGGTAATTTTTCACAAATTTTGTATATCATTTACCGCAAATGAATTTTGGGGCACATTTATATACCATATATTTGCTGTATATACCATATAGTGTGTATGTATGTTTACAGTGCTGTATCGGTATGCGTAATTGGCGTAACTATACGCAAAAGTACTTCGGCGGCATATCTAAATCGTGCCGCTACTATGCTCGTATTTTTTCCTGCTACAACCGAAGGGTTCTAGGAGGAGCGAGTGGTGTTGCAGAATATAGAGATTTCTACATTTTGTGTTTGCAATTGAAATTATAATTTTAATGCAAGTTTTAAACTAAGTTTTTTTTTTTTTAATTTTTATAATGGGTGGACAATTTTAATTTTGCAATATTGTCTTCAGTTTTGTGAAATGCGAAATTGACGCAAAGAAATCGAGTATTATATAGCCACAGTACATTTAATGGGAAAGGTATTGTAATTTTTAATCTGTCATATCTATTGAAGCAACATATGTATATATGTACATACATATGCATATCATACTTTGCGGGTGTATAATTGGATGGACTCATACGGTTCGCCTTTGGATCGTGTAAACTGACGGAATTCAGTATGCGATTACAATTCTTAGAGTATCGGACGCTAAAAAATCGAAATAAAATACTCAAATGTTATCAACCTCCCCGAGTATGTTGAAATTGTGTTGAAATATTCCTTTAAAAATATTACATTGACATCCACTTCATAGAAAAAGCTTCAAATAAGTATCAGTAGTTAAGAATTAGCTCAGCTACAATGGCATACATATATTATTATATTATTTTAAAGTAGTTTATGATAACCTTTGCCTTCAGAAACTTGTTTGGTTTGCCCCTAAGGGGCTGCAAGTGCTCAGAAAACTGTATCCGTAATGTCCCGTAAGAGATTACCAGTGTTCGCCACTCAGGTTTTCGGTGGTCATACTCGTATGCAGATATTTCAAAAACTTTTGGAATCTCATAACGAGCATTACATATATTTTTCAAAAAATGTACCTTCTCGTTAACAAAATGAGTTGACACTTACAAATCTGATTGTTTTGACAGCTATCAAATTACAACCCTGCGGTTTTCGAAACTCGAATTATATAACCCTGTATAAGTACATAGAGTAAGAAATTAAAGAAAGCTGTATGTAGCAAAGCAGACAGACCACTGACTCCAACTGAAACCACACACACTAAATAATATGTGCCAAATGCCATACCGAGTGATGGGTCGCAAAGCGGTGGGGCATATGTAGGGTGTCCGTATGCAATTTATACACACACACATAAGTGTAATGGAGTTAGTGGCCCTGCGTGGCTTACAGTGTGCCATTGTGCGAAGGATGTGGCTGCTGGATCCAAGCCTAGTCGTCGTTTTGTTGTTGACAATGTAGAGCAGCCCAACATGTAGCTGCCAGAAGAGGCAATAACTGCATGCACAACTGTGTGTGAGTGTGCTGAAGAAGTTGCACTTCATCGGCGACACGCATTCTGCGCGTGAAGTTTGTGTACTTGCAACATGACTCCTGCAGCCCATGGCATGCTACATGTGTAACTAAATGTTTGCTTTATAGGAGCTTGTATTTGACTGGAAACAATAGTGGTGTGACGCAGTGCGACACGCATATTCTGGAAGACATAATCGTACACTAACCGATAAACATGGCTGACGCGCTTAGTGCTCAAACAAACAACGCCTACCTACCAATATTCACTATAGCTCATTGGTGTTTTTTTTTTCCAATTTCTTTTTTGTTTGCCTTTGTTTTTGTTTCATTATTATTATTATTTTCCTTCTAACTTTCCTCTTGTTAGACAGTTGGTACTTAAACGGGCGTCTTACGCAAATCTTTTGTTGCCTCTGCTCCTGCCAAGTTGATGTGCGTGCCTGACAGCTACTGTTTCTGTTACTTGGCAAAGCATTTTGTTGTTGTTTTATATCTTAGCTGACGGTATTTTATATACTTTGCACATTTTCAAAAGTCTGCTTGCGCATAACTCCCTTGCATCAGGCAGCGGTCAGTTACTTCTCAGCCGCGCTCATGAATATAAATATTAAACAGACTAAAAATTTAAACTGGGCGTGTTTCTCATATGCATACACCCATTTTGGGATATGATTACTGCTCCGGCCAGAAAAGACATCGTAATTTAGTTTGATGGCTTAATATTTGCATACAATATAAATTTGAATATTCTTGTATACTACCACGCCCATTTTTTGTAAAGTAATTTTTTTCGGCAAATAAAGATGAGAAAGCATGAAATTCAGAAATATAAAATACGAAATAGTATGGAGAAGCCTACAGTCGTCTTGGCAGCAATGAAAGAAAAGCTAATGCTGATAAAAAGTGATTCCACTTCGAAATTATAAAACTAAATAAGACTCAAATAAGTACGATTAATGATCAAGAGCCTTGGAGATTCTACTTAGATTCGGTGCGGATATTTTAGTTTTTGGCTTAAATATTTTTCAAAAAAGACATGCCTATAATATTTGGTCTATTAGTAATCCACCAAAGTCTTTTAAAAAGTCATCATCCTCTGTGATAATGCCTGTACACCGTATTATATGGGAAGTCCTACTCATTACCTATTATATTTCGGTCGTTCCAAACAAGGTGACCAGATTTTTGGTAGACTATGTGATCTTGAAGACTTTCGCATATCAGAACCCAAAAAATTGTCGTTAAGACTATTCTAGAACTCTATATACTCATAAAGGCAATTCTCACAGCCTTAAGAGATATTTTACTACCCTAAACTAATTTAACATAACCTCAAACGAGATTCACAAAATCTATAAGAAATATTCAATATTTGTTTTGATTTTATTTATTCTTGCCATAGTTTCTTTAGCCAAATCTAAATTGTAAAAATATATTCACTAGTATTTTATTTAAATTCTATCTCTTCTCAAATTTTGGAGCGAAGTATCCCGTTTGCCAAACTACTATCCGTTCGATTCCCACGCGCCGTAACACACGGTATACTTTCAGACTTCCTTAACTGCATAGAAATATTCCTTAATCGCTTATTTAAACCACACAGTTACCTCTACCATAAACGCCCAACAACTCAAGTTCCTCACATTTTGCTTGCAAATATATATGTACTTGCCACCGATAGAGAATCTTCTGGTCATACTAGTCAATCGGTATATATACATATGTATACTTTCTGCATCACTGCTTATCCATTAACTCGTTCACACCATCTCCTGCTTGGTGCAATGGGCACTTTCGCATATTTACACTCAGAATGTAAAAAAGTTGCGGGTCCAAAAAAAAAATCCAAACGCCCGCTTGTTTGTACGCGTATTGTTTCCACGAAATAGCGACTTGCAGTTGCCCGTCCATTTTAGCCACAACGACATTACAAGTAAATCCAAACCGAACGCTGGCCATAAAACAGCTTATGCCCACAAAGCCCACTAGCTGGCGTGCCCATCTTCGATAATCAAACGCGGTATGCTTGTGCGCATCTTAGTGTTTGTCTTGCGCTTGCGCGTCTTGCTCGACTCCTACAGCCGTTGGGCAAGCTGACAAAGATTCGGTCTTTTGATCATGACAGTTGGCTGACACTCCAAACACATCCACAACGTCAGCCAGTTGGGTTGATACCAACGGCCAATGTACAAGTACACAGGAAACTGTTGGCCTGTTTGGCCATAATAAATACAACGACAATGATAATAATAATAAAAGCGGAGCAGAGCGGTACAAGATTCGAAATGGCAAGTTCGTCCAACCAGTCCGCCAGCTATAAAAGCGTTCATGCATAGTTAGCTCCAGCAGCGTCGCCTTTGTTGGCACAGGCGAGTCAAATGTTTGATATGTAACTGCTTTAGCGCTTTGAGCTCAATGCTGTGATCGGTAAATAACGCGCTGTTGGAGATCCGCCAAATGCCATATGCGCAGACGCTCAACCAAAGGAAAATGAGTGATAAAAAAGTGGCGTATAACAGCAACTAAACTGGTTTGGCGCTGTCCATTTTGTTCTTTTTTTTCTGTTTCTTCTTTTTTTTGTTTCATTCTCGCGTTTTGTTTGTTCAGTCTTCTTCGTTTGTTTTGGTGTAAATTATACGACTTTTCGATACCGTGTGCCACACATTCGTACATCCAGTAACAGCCAGCACCACTTCAGTCGGCAGACCTTACCTTTTATCGACTTGTTGCCTCGCCTTACTTTGCCTTACCTGTACTTATAATTTGCTGCCGCTACACTAGGTTCTTGTCGTCGTTCTTATTATTACAATATTGTATATTATTATTGTTGTTATTGTTATTATTATTCGTTCGCTTGTCAGTTGTCCATATAGCGTCAATCTGCTACGAATTTGGTTTTGACTAGGCGTGTCACGTTGACATTTAAGCACTGCATTTATGCATTTCATTACCATTTTCGTAGCGAAACCCGAATTTTTATGTAAAACGTGCACACGCGTATACGCATACATATATTTGTATATTTGTAAGTGTGTTTGAGGCGTCACTTGTCCAGCGCTCGCTTCTTCTGCTTCGTAGTCTTCTCTAAGTTCTCGCATCCTGTCCCATGTTTGTTTATGTTTTGCATTCTCCCACCATTTTTGGTCGACATTTTATAATTTCTTGCTGGAAATTTATGCGTGTTCTATTTCCATATTTGGTCTAATTATGTTGTAGCTTTCGTGTTGGGTAATAATTGTCTGAACCGTAATTTATGTATTTGTATAAAATAAATTTTAACTGCATTGTTTGACACTTTAAAGTTGTTGTTGTTTTTATTATCATTGTTGCAGTGTTTTGAGGCTGTTGAACTTTTCACTTTAATTTGTTGTTGTTTAAATTTTGTTTCTGTGTTTGTTCCTATTTTAAATATTGCTTTACTTGCTATTGTTGCTTCACCTCACCATTTTTATAATCTCGCAACATGTTGCTACAGAGTATAATAGTTTTGTTCATCTAACGGTCGGTTCTTTGTATCACCTAAAACTATTCGAGATATATCTTGATAAAACTT